TGTCTTCTTTGTGCTTTACCCAGATCGATTGGGATACCTGTGTCACCCTAGTCTCTGCTCCTACAGGTAACCCAATGGGAAAACCTGAGATACATGGCAGAAAAATACTGTCTTTGAAGTTAGAAAAAACACAGTTTAAATTCTAGCTCACTCCTTCACTAGCTGTATGACTGTTTGACAACTTGTTTCTCACTTCTGAGCCTCAGTTTTCTCATCTGTAAAATGGTGACATTTACAAACATTTCTTGGGAACGTTGGATGAATTCAGTGAGCTCACATGTTAGAGTCCCCATACAGGGTCTACTAGTTCCATGTGAAGACTGACATCTGTCAGGCCACTGCTCAGGCCACACCTGCAGAGAGGGCCAGTGCTAAAGGCAGACTGATTCCTTCTGTCCCCACAAAGGGAGGCCTGCTGTGGCCGTCTAGAGACTTAGAGGCCTTGGCTGGCCCAAGGTCTTCACACTAGAAAGGGTGAAAGAATACAATGTCAGGATGTAGCTGAGCTATATCCTGAAGCTATCTAGGCAATAAATGTACGGGGGGTGGGGGTGGGGGAGTACTCCTGGTTTCTCATTCTTTCCTTGAATCTTCTCCAAACAAGGTCCTTATCTAGGAGGTGAGAACCATAGGAGCCTCTGTACCAGGTGAGGGCACTCTTTGGCCATAGAAACAAGAAGCTAGCTGTCTTTGGGGAAATTCAGAAAGCATGACTACTGTTTTCCTCTGCAGTGTGAAAGGGTGAGCACAGCCTGTAGCTGGGGTGGGTGGGAGGCTACTCCAGGGGAGGTGATGTATGTGCAGGAGATTCCCTGGGAAAGAGATCAAGTCCAAATTCTTGGGCACCAGTGCTCCATCTCAGCCAAGCACTACCACTTATTGCCATGAAGTGTCTTAGGGATGGCACCTCATCCTTGAGGCTCAGCTTCTTCTTGTATAAACTGGCCTGAGACCTGTTCACTTCCCTGCCTTCTTGGGAGGATGGTTGGGTTGTAAGAAAATGGGGGATGGGCTAAGGGTATCGTCACTGGCCCTTGCTGGGCTCCCCATCATGGCCTGAGATTTTACAAGTTTCCATCTCCCTAAAGTCACATTTTAAATTCTTACCATTTGAAATTATAGAAGCCACTGTCATTTTTATCTACTAGCTATTTCACTTCTTCCTGAGCAGAATAAATCCTAGGATTTGTGTTAAACAGCCCCCCGCCCCCATCCTGTCTGGATGATTGAACATCTCAGAAAAGAGCATACAACAGGCTGACCTGCCATGCCACAGGCTCCTTGAAGGTGGGGGATGGCCAGTTGGGGCTGTGGGCTGGAGCTGGGGAAGCCAGCAGGGCCAGTGGGGGTGGGTCCTGGGGACCTGCTTAAATGTACCTGGGAAGAGGCTCATCAAAGGAGAAGAGAAAGCTAGTCATGGGGTTCCTTTGCCTTCTTTCGCTTTGAGATGCTTCCTTTGAACCTCCAAAGAAACAGCCCTTCCTTGATCAAGTCTGGTGTCTACAGACTACCAAACAGCTCTAGAGCCCACACCAATGGGAACAGCTTCTATGGTCCCCTTTCATGTCCTATCCCTTGTGGGACAAGCAGCCTGTGTTGGTGACTCTGCTCTGTGGTAAAGAAGAGACCCTGGGTTTCTCACAGAAGCTGAGTCTCACAATCCACTACATATTGCATGCCAGCAACAAAATAACAACCAGACAGACAAATAGATGTGATAATAAAAAGCACATGCTTAAGGGAATGTTTTCACAGTGTCTGATGAAAGGAAAAGAGGTGGCCCCACAGGCTCCACAGGGAGCCTTCGCCAACACTAAGCTGAGCATATCACTAAAAAGCTCCACTGGCTCCTTGTTGCCTACAGGGCAAAGTCTACACTCCTCAGCTGGGCATTCGTCTCCTGACCCTGGGTCATGTCCTGCTACCACCCCTGTCATGCTATACTCAAGCTGGGTTTACCTCCCATCATCCTTCCCTCCCCACTGTGCTTTTCCATATCTTGTTGCCATTCCACATGCTGATCTCTTGGCCTGAATTTCCTTTTCTTCCTTTTACTATGTGTTAAGACCCAGCTGGAATGGCTGACACCTCCTATTCGAAGCCCTAGGCAGAGTTAGTCTCTCTTTGGTCTCGGCTCATATAACACTAGTATACCCATCAGTATTACGTTGTAGTTCAATTTGTCTATCTTCCCTAGCAGGCAGTGAGCTTTTTAGGGCAAAAACTGTGCCTTATTGAATTCTGTGCTCACCATGTCTGGTCTGGGGCTACACAAACCTCCAAGATGGAGCTTCCTAGATCCCAGGCCATCTTGAGCCTGTCCGATATTGTGTCTAAGCACTGGCTAGAGACCAAGCTAGAGAGAGTGTCCCTGGCTGGCACACATCATAGCCCAAGGGAACAGGGGATTGTTTCCACTGGCTAAGAGATTAGATGAGACAAACCTTCCTGGGAAGTAGGGAATGAGTTACTAAATGTATCTGAGGTTCTGAGCTTCCCGTAAGAATCGGCCTCAGAAAGAAAGAATTAAATTTCCATTCATGGAGTTCTCTGCTCAGAAGTCTCTGGCCTTATTTTCCCTCCATAAAACAATTGCTTGGCTGAGAAAGAATAAAGAAAACAGTACAAATAAGTCTCATCACCATTGCCTGCCTTTTGGGATCCCAGAATTTCATTGTTGAGGAAGTGAGGAACACTTCTGAAATGAAGATGATAGGAGGTTAATAGCTCTCTCATGAAGGGTTCTAAGGATCACATGTGATGACACATGATACTTGGCACACAGTAGGTGCTTAGCAAATGTTGGTTCCCTCTCATTGGCTCACCCATAATTTGGGCAAAACCCAGACCCTCAAGCCTGATCCCTTTGGCCTATATTCAACCATAATGGCCTTTTTCAAGATGGCAGCTGTTTTTCTTGAGGGAGGAGTTTAAATTTGGAGATCCAAAATTACGCAGAAAGTTGGTGCTCCCTCTTCCCCAGGAACAAAACGAGCATCTTTAGACTAGCCTGTCTCTCCCTTGCTCAGTGGCTGTGCTATTCTAGGGTGAGACCTCTGAAGGACATTGCCAGGATGGATAACAGGCCCAAGAAATTTGTCTTATAGCTACACATTCAAACGTTTTTCTCTTTTGTTTTTCTTTTGACATAAGAGACTATGATTTTAATCCCCCAAAAGAAAGTTTCTTTTCACATACACTTTGGAAAATAATCACGTCTTATGTTGATCATCCCTCCCAAAGGAAACCATCACCCAAGAGACACAGGGGTTACATCGTGCGGGGCAGCCAGGGCCCAGCCCCAGGGAGGTGGTCCCTGTTTACAAAGACAAGGTGAACAGTGAAGCTCCCTGCAGTTCCTCCTCCTCCCCACTGACCACAAAAGCACAAAGACAACCTTTATCAAAGAGTGCTGTGGACACAGCTGGCTGGCCAGTGAGCGACAGAAGGTCATGGCCCAGGCTGGGGTGGGGGGTGGGTACAGAATGGTAGTGAGCCAAGCCCCATGCAGGGGGAGTGTGGGCCATGGTGAAGATGGGGCCTCTGCTGTGGCCTAGAGAGCATCCTAAGGCCATAGTAAGCCACACCAGCAGGCGTCCAGTGCCAGAGGTCCCTGATGAAGATGTCAGGGGGCAGCAGACCAGTGACCTCAAGAGCCCCAATTGTTACCATGACAGCATGGAGGTGTAGAACACAGCCCCTGCACTCCTGAAGAGAAGTAGGACAGGCATGCTGAGTCTTCCATGCCCCAGCACCTGCACAGTCAGTTTGCCATGAGATTCACGAACTCAAAAAGAACAACAGCAAGAGATCCGGGAGCCGAGAATCCAGGGGTCTTCCTTGTGGGTGCACTTCTGCTGGGGCCTATGGCCGTAGCCGGTCGAGTGTAGAAGGGAAGACTGGGCCTC